TCATTCCATCATATGACATTGAGTTGCAAAGAATGCTGGGAAATCTAGTCTTGTTTGTTTCCATAGCAGTGAAAGGCAAGGGGGAGATGAGACTGTGTGTTGAATGAGCTAAACTGCAACTATAGTTCGACATCAGTAGGCTGTGAAAATGTCATGTTAAGAGGAGAAATTGAGAGAGAGAGATTGAGAAGTAGAAAGAGATGGGAATTATAATACTGTTTGTGTAAATTAAAAAATCCACACACACATAAGGTGATATATCATTGTAAAGATATGTATCATTGTAAAGATAAATATCATATGTAAAAAAAGCCACAGAATGTTGATTGGAAAACTGCTAACACTAACTACTACAGATTGGATGCCTATCAGAAGGAGGGAGTGGAATGGAACTGAGACTGAAGGATGTATAATATGACAGCAACAATAACAACAACAACAAAAACAACCCCAGGCTTTTCACACCAGTTCCATGAGTTGAACTGTAACAGAGGAGCATGGTTAATTGGGTCCGTCTAATTCTTTGTATTTAAGACCTGGGAGGAATAAAGCTGGGGTGAGTCAGGTCACATGCATGGGTTATTCAGATCATGGGGGAGGGTTAATTGTGTGTGCGTGCTAAGTCCCTTCATTCATATCAGACTCTTTGAGACTCTATGGACTGTAGCCCACCAGGCTCCTATTCCATGAAATTCTCCAGGCAAGAATACTGGAGTGGGCTGTCATGCCCTTCTCCAGGGGATCTACCCGACCCAGGGATCAGATCCATGTCTCTTACATAACCTGTGCAGGTGTGGGCAGGGTTATTTAGAGCCAAAAAAATGTGACTCACTATGTTAATGCTGAGTTTAATTTTCTTTACTCTGATAAGCACCATTCTTTTCACTATAGTTGAAGGACTGATAGGAATGGTGTTACAGTTTAAGTTTAGGGATGATAGCAATTCTTTTTTAGATAATTTAGGAATATTGTAAGTTTTGAAAAATGAATTTTGTACATACTTTTTCTTGTGTTCCATAATACAAAATTAGTAAGAGTTGACTTTTAGAGGGTCAGTGAGAGCATGAGTGAAATAAATATGGCTACTTGGTAGTGAAATCCATCATGCTCTAGTCTTCTGTTATTATCTTTGGCAACAGAGAGTGGGAGAAAGGATTTCCTTCTTCTCTAATATAGCCCTCAGTGACTGACTGGCTCCCTTCTCTGGAATGAAGCAAATTGGCACAATTCCATGTCTTATGTGGGAACAAGACACAGAAGTTTATTTATTTTATTTTTTTAAACTTATTGTCATTCTTTTGCTTTTAGTTTTGTATTCTATCCTAAAACATCTCATACTCAATCCTCTAGATAACATGTGTTAGTATGTTTTGCCATTATTAAGCATTTGTTACAATTTTGGAAGCAGCTCTTAAGCACTTCCCTTTTAGGACCATGATTCCTTATTACTTAATTATAAGTTATTAGCATGGATGGGGTAGGAATGGTGAAATGGATTTAATTTGTAAATAAAAATGTGTGAATTTAATGACTCTTCACCAACTTTTGAGTCAGATGGGAATCTACTTTTTATCTCTCACAGTAGTTTTCTAAGAGCCAATGGTATTTGGATTTGGAAAAGTAGAATTCCTCAATGAGAAATTTATCTTCCACAAAATAACAATAATTGACTAATGAATTATTTAATACTGTAATGAGTACTTCATTGGGTTCTATGAGTAATTTTATAAATAATTACCTTTAATAGCAACTTTATAGGTCTCATCTCGCATGAAGAACCCAGGGTAAAGGGGAGTCAGTGTGAATAAGACCAAGCAGAGTAAAGCAGAGCTTGAATCTGAAGTTTGTCTTGCCTTTCTGCTTATGTTTTTCATTGCTTCCCTTCTTTTCCTACCTTTAGTGAGTTCTTGATGCCTTATCTGTCTCTACTCAGCCATGAGAGAGCTCTTCTTGTCTCATAGTTTAAGGCGTAACACAAATGCATAGTTATCATATCTCGATTTTTCTCCTGAGTTGCAGGATTCTGAATTTCCAGCTGCTGATGGGAATACCCATTTGCACATGCTACTCATACCCCAAACTCATCATGTCCACTGTAGTCAGAGGAGAGCTTGCTTTAGATTTGCTCACTGGTGTGAATATTATGTTATGAGCCATATGTTATGAGTAATATGTTATGTTACTGCAATAGGGAGGTAATATGTTGTTTTCAAGTTAAACTATATAAAGAGTGTAAAAAAATTAAAATAGAGCATAAACTATATGGAGGCATTTTTGTTAAAAGTAAAAAGGATTATTTTAAATAAGTAGTATCTCTTGACTGGTCATTCAGTCTCCCCTCCCTACCAAAGCATTATTGTTTAAAATTTTTTTTTTTTTTTAAGCCACAAGTAGAATCTAACAAGGACTTTACATGTAGGTGCTTAAGGCACCTGGAAAAATGAGAAATCATTAATTGAGACATAGTTCAGGAGTGCCTGTGTCAGGGAACGAAACTCAGGATTGGAAGCTGAGAACAGAAAGAAAAAATTAGTTATCTGTATATTCTAAAATGTGTGGGTGATAGGTGAAAAGGATAAGCAAATTACTGGCAAAACAGACTTTTCAGTTTCCTTCTGGATGCTTTTTTCTAAGTTAATTTGAGAAATAATTGTAAGTGTTGATTTTGTGTTATAGAGAATATATCAGTTTAGAAAATTAAAGTTACAAAATTTTATGAAAAAATCAATAACAGGATGTTATTATTTCCAAATGTGAAATATAATTTTTACATGGACACCATGATAATTATATGAGGAAAGAAACAGCCATATTCAGATGTTAGAAGTGATTTTATAGAGTGAAGAACCCCAAAGTTGCTGTCATTATAAGGAATAGAATTCTCTTTTCAAGAAATTGCAATTTCCTATTTTGTATTGCAACTGAGTGATTATTTCTCTTCTTTTTGGAAAATTTAATTCTTTAGTATAAAGGATATGTCACTAGTGGCAAGCCTGCAAGCATAAGAGAGATCATTCTGAGCCTCTATTTCTGTCTTTTCTTTGCCATCATTAATGGTAGACTTGATGTTTGTGACAATAGTTTTAGAGAAGCATGGAAAATCTGTATCTTTGGTTAAGATAAATTTGTGGTAGTTAATGATTTTAGCTGGGTCTGTATTCATGTTCAGTTGTGTCTGACTCTTTGAGATCCCATGGACTGTATCCCGCCAGGCTCCTCTGTCCATAGGATTATCCTGGCAAGATAGGGAGTGGATTGCCATTTCCTTCTCTAGGGGATCTTCTCCACCCAGGGATTGAACCATGTCTCCTGTGGCTCCTGCATTGGCAGGTGGATTCTTTACCACTGAGCTACCTGGGAAGCTGGATTTTAATTAATTATATAGTAAAATCTTTATTTTTAGAATAAATCAGGCAAATCAGGGTCCGTGCTTTTACAAACTGAAGTGGGTATTAAATTATGAAATAATTTGTAGCTTGTATGAGGACTTTGTTACGGTCATAACATTGCATGCTCATGAGAAATAATGCAGTGATAACAGGAAATGTATCTTCTAAAATTACTTCTGTTATAATAGCTTCTATTATAAAATGGACAGTTAGCAAATATTAAACAGGGCAATTAGAAAATACTAAATGGTTTACAAATATCATATGTAATTTTGAAGAAAAATTATTTTGCTTTATAGTGCAGTTTATTTTTATATTTTGGGGGAATTTAGTTTTGGATTTTCTAATGGAGCTTGGAAACTTTACATAGAGTTTTTGTTTGCTTTTTTGTCCCAGAAAATCTAGAGTTGTAGAAAGTCATCCTGATGATTGAACCCAATTCTGATGCGTCTGATTGAATTGATAGAGGAGGAAATAATGTAACAAAATAATTTGTCACAGATGAGAAGTAATAAACACTAATATGGGCAAATACAATATTTGCTAGACACAATATTATTAATAGGCAAAGGTGAGATGCTGTGCTTCAGTTCCTAGTTCAAGTATTAAATGTCATTGGGCTCAATACTGTGGCCTTTCAGGATTAGATGATACCCTCTGCTGGCTAAATGTGGGATTGCGTTTAAAAATGAATGGCTTTTTTTTTTGTGGTTTTAAAAATAGGGGTAATTGTATAAAAGGATTGAGCAGTGCAGAATATTGTAAGATAGAAAAATTATAAATGTGAATAATGAAGTCAGTGTATTGATTAAAGAAGTATTTTTGCAAATGAAACTAATATGGAAATACCCATAATTGGAATTTCCTAACCTGATGATTTATTTTTTAACCATGGAAGTAGGAAAGAAACACAGCAGGGGCAGAATACATAGATCTCCTTACCTCCATCTTCAATAACAATTTTGAATAATCCAAGCTATTTAAATTACTTTTATTACTTACTGTTGTAACAGTGACTGGCAAATAGCTCGAGGTGAGATAAGAACTGCTTTTCTCAGGACTTCCCTGGTGGTCCAATAGCTAGGATTTCATGCTTCCACTGCAGGGGGCATGGGTTCCATCTCTGGTCCAGGAACTAAGATTCCTCACTGTGCGGTCAAAAAAAAAAAAAAAATCCTACCTTGAGAACTGCTTTTCTTTGGCTACCCTGACCTAATTTCTGTTAAAAATAATTGAAATATTCTTACATAATTTGGAAGTTCGACAAGTACATGGAAGTATCATATAGCATGTTTGTTTTAAAATTTTTTCTGTATTTTATTTTTTTAACTTTTAATTTTATACTGGACTATAGTTGATTAACAACGTTGTGATAGTTTCAGGTGTATAGCAAAGTGATTCAGTTATACATGTACATATATCTATTCTTTTTCAAATTCTTTTCCCATTTAAGTTGTTACAGAATACTGAACAAAATTCCCTGGCTCTTGTGTAGGTCCTTTTGGTCGTCCATTTAAAATATATTTTAAATTCTAAAAGTCACTTTGGAATTTACAGTGTTTGGGGCACATGATGACATGAAGTTATATTTAAAAGCTTGTATTACACAGTATGTCATTATTTCATTGCAAACTTGAAAAATATAATTTTAATCTGATTCTACTGTTTAATATTGCCTTTCACTGGTATGTTGCTTTAAGAGCACCCATCCCCCTTTCCTGTTTGAGCCACTGTGTCCTGTCAGTCATTCTGAAATACACTAGGGTACTTGTCAGGCTGTTTGCTTACAAATGCATCATAAGCCAAATTGTGAGCCATGATAGTGGCACTGAATTTCTAAATACAAGAAATTGCTTAGACAGTTGGTTTAGTATCTGTGTATGGGCAATACTCTGTCCTGCAGTAGGTGAGTGAAGTGTCAAACTTTTTAAAATCAAACTTTGCTCTAAGGCAAATCCTAATTATAGGTTATATGTTACTTGGTTAGATAACTTTGGGGGACATTAAAGGATATTATTTCTATAAAATGGGATGAATAGAAACTACTGTATTGTGTATTTATTACTTTTATAACTAATTTCCTTTTAGTAGCACTAAACTCTAAACTACTTTATGAAAACTCCAGCTTTATAAATATCTACTTTTCCAAGTAGATTAGCAGTCATTTCTGTTTTCAATAGAAATGTAATTCTCTTACATACTTTTTCTTTCACATCAATTGAGGCAGACTCAGTTGAGCAGAGGCTCAGTTCTGTTATTTGAAGTATTTATTAATGGCAGTAAAAATAGTGCTAAAACAAATTCTCATGTGCCAGTGACCAAGCTATAGTAGTCTTATATCAAAGCATTAAAAAATTCCTATTAGCTGAGCTATTCCTGTTTGAGTAACTGTATACAAGACACTGGAAGCTTCACATTCTTTAGACATAAAAGTTATTCAGCAAGCAGCCTCTTTGTGCAGACAATTTAATTTCTATATGAAGCTCTAAACCTAAGTTGTACATGGATACTTTTCCAGTATTTTCTGCATGTAGCCTTAATATTTTAAAAAGAGAATTAATAAAAGTAAAAATATAGGAACTTGTGGATTTTGATACTTGTGTGTTTAATATGGTAGAGAATAGTTAAGAGGCTGCAAGGACTTGAAATTTTAAGGCTTTATCTAGGGTAAACAAGAAGAGATTGCTTTTACTGATACATAGAATGATTATTTATTCCTTGTTCTGGAAAGGATTCAAGGTGACTTACAAGGCTATGTGAAATTCAAGAAAGGAGAAATTAAAAGTGGGGTGAAAGTAGACAGAAAAATAAGTATGAGATATAAAACGGAGTCAGGAATAAGGCTGAGCTGCCGCAGTTCTTGATTATGGTTTTATGACACTGGTGTATGGTGGATTGATGGGAGAGAAAATATAGGCTTATATACAGAAGTCTTACGGGGGACTTTCATGCAAACTAGCTGTCTTCCTTACCAAAGGTGACAGTGCAGAGTGGGGAAAGTAAGCTGGATGGTGAATATTAAATATGCTTTAAATATCACTTTGTGTTTTGGTGGGAAAAAAAGTAGAGAACTGCTACCCTTTTAGCCCACACACTGATTTGTGTAGGCATAAGTGTGGCTCTAAGTTTTCTAGGAGCAGAAAGGAATTTGGTCTGTTACTTAATTCAGAAGAAAGATTAAAGAGGCTTAGTTGTTTGGAAACAACAAGAAGTTGTTTAAATAAGGTCGTGTATCTACATATTAGAACAGATACAATCAAGCTAATGTTAAGATAAAATATATTTGGCAATTTTGTATGAATCTAGTCCTGGTATTTAAAATTTTTTCTGAATAGGTTTTTATAAATGAGATTAGTTACTTTCCTTCCTTCACTCAATTTGGTTAAAAATTTAACTTGAATTTCATCTTCTATTAGGTCAAAATTAACTAGATACATTTAACTTGGAAAAAAGTTGTTGGGTAGGAGGAAGGAATTCAGAGGTAGGACTTTTTAATGTACTTTGATCTTCAAATACTCAAAAACCAACTACTGTGTTGAAGACTCTGGGCTCTGTGCTGCACACCATGCTAAACCCAGGCTGTAAAAGTGAATAAGGTTAGAAGTTCACTGCTTTCACCCAATAGTATTGAAAAAGGACAAAAGTGTAGCAGTTAACATTTGCTAAGGATCTTTCAGTGATATCTTCAGATATTCAGTTAACATGATGAGTCAGAGACAATCATTTGGCTCCCTTTTTTATTCCACTGTTAAAAATAAAATAAGTAAGAAATGGTTGCCTTTTACAAAAAGCACTACAGAAACAAAATACTCAAAGCTTTTTTTTTTTTTTTTTACTTTTGTAAACACATATTCAGGTTGACTTAGAGTTCTATAACACAACAGCTGCATGACATGACATTGTGGATAACCTGGACACACAGGTTTGAAACCTGGGAAGCAAATATTCTTAAGATAATAAGTAGGGTTTTGTTGTTGTTTAGTCGCTAAGTCGTGTTTGATTCTTTGCAACCCCATGGACTGTAGCCCGCCAGTCTCCTCTGTCCATGGAGATTCTCCAGGCAAGAATACTGGAGTGGGTTGCCATTTCTTTTTCCAGGGGATCTTCCCAATCCAGGGATCGAACCGGTGTCTCCTGCAGTTCCTGCTTGGCAGATGAATTCTTTACCACTAACTCCACCTGGGAAGCCCAAAGCAGATTTGTGCTAAGTTGTTTCAGTCCTGTCCAACTCTTTGTGACCCCATGGACTATAGCCTACCAGGCTCCTCTGTCCATGGGATTTTCCAGACAAGAATACTGGAGTGGGTTGCAGGTTTTGGCATCAAATAAACAGTGATTACCAGAGTGGTCAAGGATGCTTAAGGAAAACAAATTAGCTTTTGAAAACAAAAGCTAGAGATCCTAGTGAGAAATCTGCTAACTGCTTGTACAGTCAATGGATATCAATAGAAATCTGTAATTATATAGTAACTGAAGTAACTTGGAAATATTTTCAGTGTCAGTGAGGTAAGAGATGAACAGAAAAGGTTTTTTAAAAGTTAGATTTATTAAGGAAAATTTTACATACATTAAATTCACTCTTTTTAAGTTTACAGTTTGATGAATTCTGACAATTATACGCAATCATATAATCACCGCCATTATCAAATAGAACATTTCTATTTGAATCAATCCAAAAAGTTACCTGTTTTATGCATGGTTGTTCAGTGATTTCAGCACCATTTGTTGAAAAGACTATCTTTTTTCCATTGAGTTACTGTGACATCTTCATTGAAAGTCAAGTGTCCATTTAATAGTATGTCTAATACGTGAGCCCGGGTTGTCTCACTTTTGGTAATGTTAAGATTGATCAGTGCAATCATGCACTATAAGCCTGATTCTCATAGTTCCCTGTTAATCAGTCACCTAATGATTTTAGCCTTCATACTGGTAATTCCTGTATAGTCTATTATTTTTTAAGGGTTTGTAAATGGTGACTTTATCATTCTATAATTCTTTTTTAAATGCTTGCATTTTTGTTTTTTAAATTTTTTTGTTTTTATTTTTAATTATTTTATTTTTTAAAATTTTGGCTGTGTCAAGTCTTTGTTGTGGCACATGGGCTTTTTTCTCTAGTTGCTGCGAATTGACCTCTCTTGTTGCAAAGCACAGACTTTAGAGGAGTGCGTGTGTTCAGTAGTTGTGGTGTGTGGGCCTAGTTGCTCAGTGGTATGTTGGATCTTAGTTCCATGACCAGGGATCAAACCCATGTCCCCTGCATTGGAAGGTGGACTCCTAACCACTGGATTGCCAGGGAAGTACCCTGTTTATTAGTTTTATCGGTTGGGATCATTTATAAAGAACTCTTCCCTTACTATTTCATTAGTCAGAAGTATAGTTCACACCAGGAAATCAGGAAAGTACTTGATTATTTCCTATTTTTTACCCATATTCAAAAAAATAAGATGTTCTAGCAACTTTGAAAGGTGACCAATGAGTTTTTGTTTTTGAATTTTTATATGTTGGATATGTTTCAGTGTATTATAATTTTTATTATATTGATGCTCAAATTTTCTGATTTTTGGCCACTGAGAACCCCTTTAAATTGTTTACTTAGCCTTTTGATTGGCTTTCTTGGTTGGTCAGTGATAAAAAATCCACCTCCCAAAACAGGAGACGTGGGTTTGATCCCTGGGTTGGGAAGATCCCTGGGAGAAGGAAATGACAACCCATTCCAGTATTCTTGTCTGGAAAATCCCATGGACAGAGGAGCCTGATGGGCTATAGTCCATAGAGTCGTAAAATAGTCAGACACAATTTAGTGACAAAACAACAAGAAGCTTTGGACAAAACCCAAGTGAACCTTGATTCCTAGCTCAAGAAGATGTTCTAGGCTCATTTTGTACATTTCCTGCACCAGATCTTTGATCAGTGCTGATATTTGATCAGCCTTTTCACCAAGGAACCTAGGTCCTTTTAGTGGAAAATAGTATTTAGGGAAAATAGTATTAGGGAATACTATTTAGGGAAAATAGTATTAGGCAATCTGCACCAGATTGCCATTGCTGCCCAATTTTATTTTTTCTTTGGATGTGTGTGAACACATACAAAAAGAAGTAGATATTTTTTAGGAAAGGAAACATGTAATGAGATCATACTGATGGCTCCCATTTAAAATAAATTTAATTTAAGTTTTTTGATTTTACATTTGCATCTTTTTTCTTTATATTGAGGTATAGTTGATTTACAATATTATATTAATTTCAGGTGTACAACATAGTGATTCAAAATTTTTTATGGATTATACTCCATTTATAGTTATTATGAAATATTGCTGTATTTCCTGCACTGTAAAATGTATCCTTGTAGCCCATTTACCGGGCAGGAGCCCTCCCCTGTTAACACTGGTAACCATTAGTTTGTTCTCTATATCTGTGACTCTGTTTATTTTTAGTCACTAGTTTGTTTTATTTTTTAGATTCCACATACAAATGATAACATACAGTATTTGTCTTTCTCTGTATGACTTATTTCACTATGCAGAGTACTCTCTAAGTCCATCCATGTTGTTGCAATTAACACACTTTCATTTTTTATGGCTAAATAGTATTCTTTTGAATATCTATAGCACATCTTTATCCATTCATCTGTTGATGGACACCTAGGCTGCTTCTGTATCTTGGCAATTGTAAATAATTCTGCTATGAACTTTGAAGTACATTCAGTGCAGTCACTTAGTCGTGTCCGACTCTTTGAGACCCCATGGAGTGGCCGCACACTAGGCTTCCCTGTCCATCACCAATTCCTGGAGCTTGCTCAAACTCATGTCCATCTAGTCAGTGATGCCATAAACCATCTCATCCTCCATTGTCCCCTTCTCCTCCTGCCCTCAATTTTTCCCAGAATCAGGGTCTTTTCTAATGAGTCAGTT